TTATATCATTGAACTCAGAATTTAATTTCCTATCCAAAACTGCTTAGATGTATTTTTTTACGTTTCCGGTTCACAAAATAAATTTTTTGTCGCGTAAGACATTTATAGATAAAAGGCTAACATCTTAAACGTAATTTTGAATATAATTATATCATTGAACTCAGAATCTAATTCTCTATCCAAAACTGCTTAGATGTATTTTTTTACGTTTCCGGTTCACAAAATAAATTTTTTGTCGCGAAAGACATTTATAGGGGAAAGGCTAACATCTTAAACGTAATTTTGAATATAATTATATCATTAAACTCAGAATTTAACCGCTTAGATGTATTTTTTTACGTTTCCGGTTCACAAAATAGATTTTTGTCGCGAAAGACATTTATAGGGGAAAGGCTAACATACTAAACGTAATTTTGAATATAATTATATCATTGAACACAGAATTTAATTTCCTATCCAAAACCACTTAGTTGTATTTTTTTACGTTTCCGTTTCACAAAATAAATATTTTTTAGCGAAAGACATTTATAGGGGTTAGGCTAACATCTTAAACGTAATTTTGAATATAATTATATTGAACTCAGAATTTAATTTCCTATCCAACACCGCTTAGATGTATTTTTTTACGTTTCCGGTTCACAAAATAAATTTTTTGTCGGGAAAGACATTTATAGGGGAAAGGCTAACATCTTAAACGTAATTTTGATTATAATTATATCATTGAACTCAGAATTTATTTCTCTATCCAAAACTGCTTAGATGTATTTTTTTAGGTTCACAAAATAAATATTTTATCGCGAAAGACATTTATATGGGAAAGGCTAACATCTTAAACGTAATTTTGAATATAATTATATCATTAAACTCAGAATTTCACTGCTTAGATGTATTTTTTTAGGTTTCCGGTTCACAAAAAATATTTTTTGTCGCGAAAGACATTTATAGAGGAAAGGCTAACATCTTAAACGTAATTTTGAATATAATTATATCATTGATCTCAGAATTTAATTCTCTATCCAAAACCGCTTAGATGTATTTTTTTACGTTTCCGGTTCACAAAATATATATTTTGTCGCGAAAGACATTTATAGAGGAAAGGCTAACATCTTAAACGTAATTTTGAATATAATTATATCATTGAACTCAGAATTTAATTCTCTATCCAAAACCGCTTAGATGTATTTTTTTACGTTTCCGGTTCACAAAATAAATATTTTGTCGCGAAAGACATTTATAGATAAAAGGCTAACATCTTAAACGTAATTTTGAATATAATTATATCATTGAACTCAGAATTTAATTCTCTATCCAAAACCGCTTAGATGTATTTTTTTACGTTTCCGGTTCACAAAATATATATTTTGTCGCGAAAGACATTTATAGGGAAAAGGCTAACATCTTAAACGTAATTTTGAATATAATTATATCATTAAACTCAGAATTTAACCGCTCGTGGATTGGGACATGAAGAATGTTTAGAAGAGATTTGTTACATAATAATTTTCTTGATGAAGTGCTATATAAAAACCATGAAATATACAAGACAAACTATAAAGGAAATTCTTGAACATCAAAAGTTTAAAATAATACAAAAAACGTTTCTGATATACAAAATAAAATTTAATTTAGAATAAAATATTTTGATTTAGATTGTTTTTGAAGTTAAAATAAAAAAAACTCAATTTAGAATGACCAGTAAATTGAAATATAAAAACTTGTACAATTATTTTTTTAAAAAGATTAGCAGAGCCTTAAAAACTAAATCAAGGGACCAGAAAGAAGGCGTCTACCTACGTCAACGCATAGGAATTCAGATTATAAGGTCTAATTTCACATGTTTCATCTTAAGTTTTGACTTTAAGAATTCAAAATTGTTTTTTTTTTAAAAACTATTTACATATATTAAACATAATATACTGTATTTAAAAAAAATATATATAATTACAATAAAATATAAGTAATTTTTGCTGCACAAAACGGAATTTTAAAAAAAATATATAATTTAACAATTATAATTAATACAAATGGCTATATGAAAAAAAAAATTCTAAATTAATCGGGCTCCTCGGGGAATGAACCCAAATTTTTTAATACGTCACAAAAACTTGACTTATTAACAATTATTTAATTCAAATTTAATTAGCTTTAAAATAATAAATAAAAATAATCGACAGATTTGCAATAATATCCATGTAATAAACAAATATTTGAGATAACAAAGTTTTATGAAAATAGTATAAATGGGAATTTCCTTGAGATAATATGAAATAAAACTTTAAATTCAAATCCAGGATAAGTTGTTATCTAGTTCTCTAAGACAACCTTTATTAATGCATCTATCTAAAATTAGGAATTTAATATTAAAATGTAGCTAACTAATTTGGAAATATATAAAACACAAGACAGCAGCTGAGACTAATCAAATAAAAGAATGGATGATCTCTCCATCTAAATAATTTATCTGGCCGAAGTAAGCTGTGACACCTCTAGCTGTAGGCCTCTTCGATCGTGGTGATTTTTACCTCATTATTGTTACAAGTTCTCGATATAATGAAGACTTATCCCGTGGGCCCTTATTTCAGTCTTTTCCGTTTCACCGTTTTCACCCTCTAGAGGTGGTTCTTCTACATTTCCAATTTCTCAACTATTTCCCACTCCATATTTTCTTCCTCACGCCCTGACTTCTCTATTTCTTGTGCTATATCCCGTTTTTCAATTGATCAGCATGCTTACATATCGTTCTATCTTTACTTTCTACCAAATAGAAATATCCACCAGTTCTGGATTTCATAATTCCTTCTCTCCACCCCGAATTGATTTCATTATGTACCTGTGAAACCTCGAATTCCCTCATATGAATTGGTTCATCATGAGATGCCTTTTGTTGCATATTAGATTGCCATCTCATCCTAACATTTGCACCCCAACAATAGTTTTACCGGCGAACGTCCCGTTGATTGATGCTCGCCTATTCTGTGTTGTCAAAACTTCTCCTAGCTTATTAATATCATTTCTAGTGACAAAATATCGATTCTCATAAGTTTCGTATTGTTCTTCCAGCTAATCCATTCGTTTGGAATGGTGAGGTGTTGAAAATATTAATTCAATATTTTTCTCTAAACAGAATCTTTGAAATTCTCCAGAAATAAACTGATCGCCATTATCTGACACAATTTGTCTTGGCGTTCCAAAACGCGCTAACCATTTCCTTAGCGCCCTGATTATAGTGTAGGCGTGGTCTCTTACATTAAAACTCGACCTAAATCCATTTAGAAGTTTTACACGTTACTGTAATTTTCATCATTAAAATAGAGGGATTGTGTATATATTTAGAGATAGCCCATATATGTTAGGTATTTGGTAAAGACTCAATGCCAGGGTTAGTCAATTTATGATATTAATCAAGCTCTATTAATAGAAAATAATGTTAAGGAAATTTTGACAAATAAAAAAATAAAACTTTTGCACCTTAGAGATATTTTTAAAAAACCTAGCTCTGAGACTTTTCAGCCATGATTTTTTTATAACTCATATCGTTTAGCAATTTATCTTTAACTTATTATTATTATTTTATAAATAAACGATAATTTAAAATTTCTTAAGTTTAGGTGACAATTGTTTATATCAGGGCCGTAGCGACGGGGGTGCCCCGGGGGGGGGGGCCAAAAAAATTTTTGGCCCCCAAACCTGGCCCCCAGAAAAAAATTTTGGCCCCAAAAAATTTTTCTGCCCCCCCCCCCCCAATTTGAAATTTTTTTTTAGAATTGATTATTTTTATATTTTTAATATAAATTTTGAATATTTATTCAAAAATATTCAAAAAACATGTCTTTTTTTTCTATCCTGTTTTATTTTTACCCAATATTAAATTATCATTCATTCATTTTTTTTTATTTTTTTTTGTTGTGTATAACATTCTCTATAGGTATCACATTTATATTATAATATATAACCAGTTATTTTATTTTACAGCGTTTATTTTAAAATTATGAAGAAACAATCAGTTATTAACTCTTATTTTAAGTTAAAGTTAAACAAATTTCAAGCAACATCACCTCTACAAACTACTAGTAATACTACATCAGAAATTTCAGAAACTGATTAGACCGATTTACAGAAGATGATTTTAATCTTTTAATATTGCCCCCCCCCCTTGACCCTGATTATTTTTTATCAGATAAAATGGCCCCATTGGAAACACTACATCATGAAATGAAGATAGCAAAAGAATTGCTAGCTTTAGAAGCTAAAGAAAATATAATTTTGAAAATATCTTACATATAATGTATAAAAAAAAATATAATCATGCATTTAAATAATTATATAAAGCAGCAGTAAATGGCTTCTTGTGAGGCCTCGTTCTCTACATTAAAGAGAGTTTTATCGAGCAATAGAGAGTCTATGAAGGATAAACGTAAACAAAATTTAGTATTAATGGCGTATGAAAAAAGAAAGAATTTATCTTTTAGTTCATTTATATTAAAATTTAAAAATAAAAATCGTCGTATTCTATTATAGTAATATTCTGTTTTGTATATGCATATTATAGTATTATTTTGTTTTGTATATTCATATTATAGTATTATTTTGTTATTAAATTTTTAATAAAAATAGGAAAAAATTTCTTGTTTAATTTTAAAAAAATAGTGCCCCCCCCCCAAGTAAGCACTTGGCCCCCCTAAGTAAAAATTCCTGGCTACGGCCCTGGTTTATATATACAATTTTAAAAACATTTCTTTTTTGTAATTATGATATACTCGTGAATTTATTTTAATTTGATAAAATTATTATATTGTAAAGGACAATATGGTATGAAATATGAATTAAGCATTATATAAAACATATCTAAAAGAAATAATAAATATATATTTATAGTAGTAATGATCACATTATATAAAATATTGAGCTTGAATACAACAAAAAATATTTAAAAAAATTGAATTTTGGAAAAAGTTACAAAATGATGTTAAAATTCAACAAGTTTTTTTTATATAATTATAACAGGAAATCATTCAATTGTGGCAGTAAACTTGGAAATCTTGTGATATAATGCCAAAAATATTGACCATAATAATACAAGTATAGGGATTAACGAGCATACAGAGAGCTTTAATTATTTAATGAAAATATAGAATTTATACTTATATATAGCAAAGATATCAGGTAATTTCTTTTTATAACTAAAATAAATATTTCGTTTGCGTATTACTTCAAAAGAAAAAGAATATACACATGCCAAATAAATAATTAAACTTATCTTAATGTAAAGGTATTTCATTTAATTAATATTATTTTTAAACTTACATAACATGCCATAAGTATCATGCTAAAATGGTTATCATGCCTTAAGCGTAATAAATAATAACATAGCCAAGATCAGGACAAAGAAAGAGATGATAAAAAGTTTGAAAATATGCTGAGATAATTGGCGTGGTGAATGCAATTCGTTAACATTGGGCATGAGAAAGGAGGCGAAATATTGTAAGTTCATTTTTATAAAAGTGAATGGCGAAGGAGAGCTGTCATGCTTTGATTTGGGGAGCTTTATAATAATTATTATATGTAATGATTTATGAATCATGAAAATATATAGTACATTATTTAAATAATAAACTCAACATTGATAAAATATCTATATTAATAATTTAATTCAGCTGTTGCATTATATACAGTGGTGTATTGCTTAAAAACTTGGCGGGGGAAGGAGGGGGGGGGCGTTTTTTTATATAATAAAAAATATATTTTTTTTAAATTACGAATATGAGAATAAATTATCTTATATTTAGAAAAATGTAACAAATTTAATAGCATCAATATCCATATAGATTAAAATATAAAAATATGCTTCGCTATCTTTGGGTTGTATTTTTCTTTAAAAAGATTTCATTCCCACACGATGACTCCTTTCCCATATTCTGATACATAGATCTGGAATTCATTCCGATATCAGGTTCATTAATATCTATGAACATTAAATTTGACAAATTATATACTCTCTGCCATGATCAAAATCATAAGATAAAAGCACTTTTCACACTCGGCAGTAGACACAGTTAAGGAATTTTTCAAATTTTTCATTAGGAATATCTTCATCGATATATAGTCGAAGCCCATCATATTCATTTAATTTGAATCTTTTTATTTGCTTCTCGCAAAATCGCATCTAGGTTCTTAGGCCCAATAAATAATATACCGGAAAGAATATCTAAAATGAAAAGATAATTTTATTAAAATGTATTCAAGTTAACCCTCGTTTCCAAGGTTATCTATTAGACGCTGCATGATGCTTTCTAGTCATTCTAAATTGGTCTATGAATCTTACTGTGGATTTGTTTAACGGTGTATTTTTAAATAAAAGTTAAATTTCTGAATTAGCAACATCTGTAAATACCCGTATAGTGTCTACTCGAGAGAGGGGGCAGGAGCGATTTGCCTCGCAATTTTTTTGAAGGGGGTTAGGATAAAGCAAAAATAAACACTATTTGTAGATTAAAGATAAAAATAACTGATAATTTTTACAAAATGTATTCCGTTTGAAGTTATACACTCTCGTGGCTTATATTTAGAATACGGGAGTTCAATTTAATTGTTTAAGGTTATAAATGGTGGCTCGTTATAAGTTTTCTAATTAAGATCATCATGAGGTTGTTAGAGCATAATAGGTGGCTAAATATTGTGGCCAAAGGCCGAGAAACTTTTTAGGAGGGGATAAGGGGGTCACAGCTTCCAATAAATTTTCTGTCACTTAGACGCTGCTTAAACAATATTTTATTATTGCCAACATGCTCGTAATGATTTTTTTTAATATCAGACAATCAATAAAAATGGTTAATTGACAAAAGGACACCGAAAAACTTGATAAAAAAATATCTTTATTAAAATTTTCAAAGTAAATTGATTTATCCCAACAACTAACAACCTACCTTTTTGAAGATTTTGAATTTTCTACTTAAACATTAAAAAAAATTTAAATTGGAGTATTTTTGCCTAGAATTTTGTTAAATCGGCTAAATCCTAACCGTCAGAAAACTTCGCTGAGCCTTGAGGCAAGAGCATTTTCAAGATTGAGCTATTCTCTAGGTTCAAACCTCGATCGAGGCTTAAAAAAAATTGGTTTAGCCTTCAGAGTTGGCTCAAAACTAAAAATGGAGCTATTTATCACTATTACTTGTTGGTAGTGAACCTCATTCTATACTTTAATAAAGCAGAAAAATCTATATAAAAATAATAAAAATAAAAATATCAAAAAATTGTGGCTATAAAAATATAGAAAAGATTTTTGACTAAATGAAAATTTTAATCTTTATACCAAATAATAAAGAGAAAGGGATTCAATTTTAACACTTTAGAAATAAAATTTTTTGAAGGGAGGGCTCAGCCTCTCCACAAAATTATGTTAGGGGGCTAAAAATAAAAAAAAAATAATGGAACTTAGCCCTCCGTAGCTACCCTAGCAATAGACCCTATGATTACTTATAATGTAGTTAATGAATTAATCGATCCTATTTTAGAAAAAAATATCTTACTATAAGATTTGGTTCACTAACTCTACGTTTAAAATGCTTGCAATAGTAGATGAGAGAAAGTGCTTCAAAAGCAGCCTTAAAATAATGAGCTGAAACTAAAATATTTAAAAACCGTTAAATAACTTTACAGAATAATTTGCTTTTATATAATTCATATCAACATCAGGTACTTTACACTTTTTAAATATAATTCAATTCATTATTTTTAAAAAAAAGTGAATATAGTATTACTAACTCTCGCATGCATATTGAATCTCATTTCTTTTGAAATATATAATTACTATTTTTGCCTGGTAAGCTAATTCTTTATAATCTTCAATCAAACGTTCCGATGTACCATTTGAAGAAACTCCTTCTTGCTCTTCAACTCTTATGGGCTATATTATTATTATAAAAATTAACAATTCAAAGCTCTGACAAAAATTAATTATTTAAAAAAATTGAATATAATTGCTGTTATAGATTTTTAAGTATCATGGGATATAGTTTATTATTAGTTAATTGCTATTAAATTAAACAATTAACATTTGTTTTATAAAAAAAAATCATTTTCTTTGCCAAGGAGGTATCTCCTCTCATATCATTGGCACCAAAAAGGCGTTTTAATGGTGAATTAAAAGGACTCAGGAATAAATCATATGAATAAATATAAAATGAATGAAAAAGTAGATAAATTTGGCATTCAGTCAAAATATCAAGAATTTATTTTTATTAAACATAAATCTGAGTAGAGATATTATCTAAATTTTAATATTTAAAAAAATATATTTAAAACCGTAATAAGGTCTTCTCGACCAATATCCGTATTCTCGTTAAATTTGAAAGAATGTGGTTGAGTTTGATCTTCAATTACTTCATTTTCTAAAAAATAAATAATAATTATAAAATAAAACATAAAAGCAAACCTTTTTTTACACTCTTCAGTTTTACTTTGTTCAAATTTAGCTCAGATTGCAAATTCCTGATTTTCTGTTTCATGTAATCATTTTCTTGTTTCAAATTATTGCTATTGATGTTAAGGTTTTGGAAATTTTCTTGAAATTTAAAAATTTTTTTTAATTATTGTGGTTTTATTTTATGTGCATAAATTATTAAATAAGGTTTGGTACCAACGATATTGCTGGTTAAAAATGTAATCATCGATATTATTTTTTTTTTGAAATAGCCCCAGTTCCAATCTTGACCTCTCTTGACCGGCGAACAGCTATGCATTTCCATAGCCCTCCGCCTTGGCTGTAATGCCGTGGTTCCCTCAATTTGCATGGACTGTGGCCATCCCATCGAATCGAAAGCTAACCATCCCTTGCACTGCAAGTTCTCCCATGGACGACAACCGCGTCATAAATCTATTAACAACATCCTCCTAGCTGCTCTTAAAAAAGTTAATATTCCATCCATCCTCGAACCAGTGGGCCTCTCAAAAGAAAACGCCATACGCCCCGATGGCATATCTCTCATTCCCTGGACCAATAGTCTCCCACTAGCTTGGGACTATACCTATGTCGATTTTGCCGCCGAATCCAACCTCTCATCTTCTGCCATCGAAAAGGCAGAAATCCTAAAAAAAACAAATATGCTTGCCTCACCAATACCGTGTTTATCCCAATCGTTACCAACCCTAGGCATGTTCGGAAGTGATGCTCTCAATTTCATCAAAACTATTGGGAAAAAAATGAGGCAGATCTCAGGGGACCCCAGTGAAAGATTTTACCTTCGTCAGCAGATTTCCCTGGAAATCTGCCGGTCCAATTTTTTAAGCATTCACTCTTCTCTAGTGATTTGTACCCTTTTTTTATATTTTTTTTTCTCATTTCTCTTTTATGCATATATATTTTTTAATTCATTTTTAATATATATTTGTTTTTTAATATATATTTTTAATTATAATTTGTAAATGAAAAATTTGTGTTTTTTAAATAAAATATTACGCTCTTTAAAAAAAATAAATAGAGCATATGTTTGTATGCCACTAGATTAATCAGACCACAAAAATTGGCTGATTTTAAAAAGAATTTGGAAAACGCCGGCCCTATTTTTATGCCTGGCCGGATTTTTCTAATTTAGTTATTTTTTTAAAAAATAATGTTGGCTATATTTTGTAAATCGTTTCAAATGAAAATTAAAAATATGAGCAGTAAATGATTGTTAAATGATCTATTATTCTCCAACTGATTAATTGATATAATTTAAATTTATTATAAAAAAGTTGACCGGGGTTTTTGTAAAATTAATCTCCTTTAATTTTCGACCAATTTTAAAATTATACAGTTTTAAAAGCCAGTTCCGTGCCGAGTGTCTGGCCTATATGTATTTAAATGGGTCATTCCATGTTAAGTAGATCACGATTCGGTTGACCCTCTTTTTCAAAAGAATTTTGTGTACAAACTAAAGTTCTTGTTACCTATATGGGAAAAATTTCAGCCTCCTATATTATACTTTTAGAGATATCAGAGGTAGAAACATGAAAAAGATCTTTATTATGTAGCGGTTTTAACTTAATTAATGATTGGTTAAAAACTTGTAAATAACAAATTTAAAATAAGGCGTGTCTGAAAATAAATTATAAAAATATTTTAAAAATGTTGGGAATCTTTTGCCCAGAACAATAACTAAAAACCAATGGGTTGCTCCGATTTTAATAAAATTTTAAACAAAAATTAAGTTCAAAAAAAAATATTGAGATGAACCTTAACGGCATTATAGGTAAATCGATGAAAACTAATAAAAAAAAATTATATTTTTAATGCTATGTGTCAAAAAAACTTAATTCGAAAAGCCGAAAATAAATAATATCATTCGTGAATTTTAATTTTCCTATCATATTTATAAAATAAATAAAATAATTTTTAGATTAAAATTTTTTACAATAAAAAAAATGATTATAATCGCAGCGAAATAATTTCATTTCATAATATTAGTACTGTAAAGTAACGGAGTTCCTTTTTTGAGTAACGGTAACGCAAAATGTTACTTTAAATCTTTTCTTAAAAAATTTTTAAAAAAAGAAAAACATATTTTATTGTACTATAAAATTACTTTTATTTATTTTTTAATATAAATAATTTAAGCCCAGTTTTTTATTCATATCAACCAACAACCATTCCTTCATTTTTATTTTAAATTCTCGTCGTTAAATTTTCAGTCGAATGTTAATCTAATTAATATTCAATCAAAATTCAAAGAAAATATTAATATTATTATTCTATTTTATAATTAATTTTAAGAATATTGTGTCCATAGTACTTACTTCTTCAGATGATTTAACCCTCCCTGGCTCCAATTTGAAACATATTTTACACCAATAAAGAAAATTTAGGGTACAAAATCTACACTTTGCAAAAGTAAATTATGTCCCAACATAAATAATTCAAACTCAATGTCCAGCAGTTCAAACATAAAAAAGCATATGAAGGTAAAAAGATGAATTAATATATTATTTTAAATATGTTTAATAATAGAATATTAAATAATGGGTATTATAAATAACCATTAAAAGAAGTATTCTTTCATAATATTTTGAAAAGCTTAATCATGAAATTAAAATATAAGCAATTAAATTATACTATACTATAGTATAGAGCTGGGAACCAACATTAAAAATCCAAGATTAACAAAATATTGGTATTGGTTCAAAATATTATATTGGGTTTAAAAAATATCTTCTATTTATTGTTTTAGTATTGTATTGGTTTAACTTCAAATTGTTAATAAATTTAAAGAATAAAATAGTGATTTTAAAAAACTTTGTTTAAATAAATATAAATATTATATATGGAATAAAACTAAAAAAGCAATATTGTTTTAGAGAACTGAACCTATATATTTTCCTAATTCCTTTTTAAATGATAAATCTGAATTCTGAAAAAAAATAGTAATTGAAAAATTATCTTTGCTAATCATAATTTCAATTTTTTAATGTTTTCCTTGACAATAAACTTAGTGAGGGATTAAAAAATGCAATTAAATTTTTAAAAAATTTATCTTCAATTATTGAAAAAGCTAAGTTATTTTTAATAAAATATTCAATAATTAATATTTTAATATTAAAATTATAGACTGCACACTCCTCAAAATTGAAAGAGAATGAACATTTGAATAGTAATTAAAAAAAATTGAAGCCAATCAACTCACACTCATTGAGATGCAAAATCCATCTATAACAAAGATAAAAATAGCAAAATCAGCTTTGATGAATTCGTTTTTAATTTTGTATTTGAAGAATTACAACCATATTCAATTGTAGAAAGCACTGCATTTATTAATATTATCAAAAAATGAAGCCAACTAAAAATGTGATGCCTAGGCCTACCCTTGTAAAAAATTAACAAAGCATATGACACCATGGCAAAGAAATTAGTGGATTTATTATCCCAAAAATTTTCTGTACAACTGTGGATTCTTAGTCAGCTTATCATCGGTATATAATATATATATATATTATAGACTGATAATATTGTCTTTTAAAAAGTTCATTTCAGCCAGCATAGCTTGTAAAATGCTAAACCAAAAACGCACATTTATTATCTAGTAAAAATAATCTTTGAAAATTTTAGGACATATAAGATACAAAATAAAGTGACCGAATGCATTACCAACGATGCTAGAAATTATATAAAAGCATTCGTGTAAAAAATTAATATATTTATAAAAATTTATTAGAGTATATAAACAAGGAATGGAATCGGATGAAATAGTTCCTCTGCCATTATTTGATCTATTTAAAAATCAAAATACTAATGATAGTATTGTATACTTATCTAAGCATCATCCCTGTTCAATACACACTTTAAACCTCATTGCAAGTGTTGACATTGAAAAGGCAGTTAACGATGTCCTATTAAAACTCACTTCAAAAATTACATTTTCTGAGTGTAAGTATTGTGGAATAAACATGGGCAATCTTCAAACTGTGCAGCCATTTTTAAGGAAAACATGGGAATATCTGATTAAACCGGTTATAACAAGATGGAACTCTTTTTATAACTCCGTGAATAGAATAGTTTTATTAAGGAGAATTGCCAAAAATTTGACGAATCTTATGATAAATCTGAATTAGAGATTTTAGTCGTTCATGGATGAATATTGTATGATTAGTGTTAATTGAGAAATAGTATATGTATATTTTATAGGTTATAGAACAGATTGCTACAGCTCTTCAATTTTAGAGAACAAAGAAAAAATGCATTTGGGATGTCTCATTCTCATGATAACTATTATAATATTAAAACTTTAAAAAATGGCTTTAAATAATTTCAAGTTTTGTAAGCCGCTTATTAATTAAATCCTGGAAGGTATAGATAAAATTTTACAGTAAATTTTGCTTACAATTTATATTTTGATTATCTTTTATTTTTAATAGATTCAGACACATATAAAAAGATGAATATATACTACAATAATTCACCCGTTATTTAAATTGTATTGGCCCTGGATAAAATTAGACAACAAAGGAAGAATGCTAGAAGTTATTTCGAGTTTGAGAAATGATCTTGATAAAGAAAGAGCAAACTTAATTCCTTTATCCAAAACACATACCAGAATATTTTCTGATAAAGATAAAAAAAAATTTGATGAGGAAATGAATGAAGATCCTTGTGAAGATGACCTATTAAGCCTTTTCAAAATAAAGATAATTCTTCAAATATTTTTAATAAATTCCCCGAAATAAAATTTTTATTTATTAAATATAATACAACTCTCCATCCTCTGCGCCAATTGAACGCTTATCTAGCACGGCGAAAGCTGTGTTGAGCACTAAGCGCTCTTGTTTGTCTGATCAAAATTTTGAAAATCAATTGTTGCTAAAAAATAAATAAAAAATTGTTACACAAACATGTTATCTTATATATAATATATTATTTTTGCATAATTTTATATATATTATATAATGTAGGAAAAAAAATAAATATTTTTTATATATATTTAATTTTTTAAATAACGAGTAACCCGTTACTTTTTTAAAATAGTCAGTAACGCGCGTTCCTTTTTTAAAAGCAACGAGTAACGGTACCGCGTTCCTTTTTTCAGACTTAACGAGTGCTTGGTCGTAAAATTTACTACCCAATTTTGTGCTCAGGCCTGCTCTGAGCACAAACCCGGGGCTCAGCCTGTTGTTCAGATGAATAATGTTATTCCAAATAATTCGAATAAAAAATATTTACCTATATAGAAACAGCAAAATTCAATGGCATTTTCTGAGGTTAGATAGTAAAGCTCTGTAGGCAACTCAGCTTAGAGTTAAAAAAAATTTAATCGGGGCCTAGGACTTAGAAATACCAAAAAAATAGGATTAAAATGAGTTATTATGTTAGTTAGCTGAGCGATTATTTCCGGCCATACCATTCTAGTTCAGAATTAGATAAACTTTCTGGCCGGATTTGTTTAATTTCATCGCTATTTTTTAAACAAGTTAGTGCTTTAAACATTTCTAAAAAAATCGACCAACGTTCATAAACAAAAAGCGAACGCGTTCACGTTCATTTTCAAAAAAAAGGAACGTGTTTACGTTCGTTCAAAATTTTATGGTAAATTTTTTAAAAATTAAATCTAATATAAATAAATGTCTTATATTTTTTAACACAATAATCAGCCATGTTAAAAAATAATATAGTTTTATTTTGTTAATATAATTATAAATAAAATAGTGAATAAAAAGATTTTTTATTTACAAAAAATTTTTCGTATTAATTTAATAACAATTGTTTTTCAAAATTTTTATCTGATAGATAGGAACGTTTGGCAGTAAATACGGCATTAGCTAAATTAAAAACGCGCTCTACAGGGACAGATGAGGGGATCGCGGTATTATACTCAACTCTTTTAACGTGGGAAATTTATTAAAAACTTTTATTGTTTTGTCCTTTGCTTCAAAAATTGAGATAAGTTATCCTCCTCCAATCCATCCTCTACTTCCTCTTCAAAAAAAGGATATCTCAAAATTAACAGTTATTGCATAATCATTTCTAGGGTATTCAATGCATTTTTTCGACTCTATACTCTATAAGTTAATTTTTTATAGGTTCGTTATGTGGAAGTTTTTTCCATGGCTATTGAAGCTTGAATAGTGGATGCATAATTGCAGAAAGAACATATTGATTATCATATATATGTTCAAATGTTTAAAAAGATAAAATATATGTAATTAATTTGATAGTGATAGGTTTAATACCTTTTATTAATCCCATTTAATACTGCGTCTCAGTAGTTTACCATATTTTAGGTCACTAATTTTTTAAATTTTAAAATAACTATCTTTACTGTTGGGGTAAAATTTCCAAATGCAATTTTTTCTTCAAATTTAATGATTTTACATAGTTATATTATATAAAATGAAATAATTAATATTACACCTAAATTTCGTTTTAAATTGAAACTTGAAGATTTTGAAACTGGTAAAATAGTTTTTAAGCACATTTTACATTTGGTAAGTATTGAATTAGTTCCTTCAATATAGGATGAAACTGTAAATAATTATCAAATTTGGGTTATGGTAATGTTAATTCATCTGATTTTAAATTTTCAGAATCAGATGATGATGAAATAATAATATCCACGGTTATGCTAATCTATTAAATTAAAATAACAATAATATTAAAATTAATAAACTATAAAACTATAATAATGGCGTGTCAAAAAAATTGAAATGTGAAAAAGGTAAACTGATTATAAAATATAAGACTTTATCTGAAAAAATTCAGATAAATATTAAATTTTTCAAATAAAAAAAAATAAAAAGTGTATTTAAAATTGAAAGAACATTAAATTCGAACGCGTTCGTCATAAAAAAGGAACGCGTTCATGTTCAAAGTTCGTCAAAAATAAAAGGAACGCCGTTCATCATTTTTTTTAAAAAAACGAACTTCATTTATAACACTAGTTAAAATATATAAAATCTTTAATTTACACTTTTTATAAAGTTTGCATAATTGCTATAATTGGGTAATGGCTAAATACATGCTAACTCAGCTCAAACTTCAGGTGCTAGCCGAAGAAAAAACATTGAGGCATTTTAATTTATATTAATTTCTTTCAAAACTGAGTTTCTATCTTTTTAAGAATAACGAAAAGCCTGATAGTTTTAGGCTAAAAGATTTGGTCTAGCCATTTTTTAGCCGGCTAAAAATATATTTGGTTTGAAGAAGTTTAAAACTAAATTGTTGTAAAATTCAAAAAAAATTAAAAAGTAAATGTGTTATTTTAATTATTTTTGTAAACAAAATATTTTTATCTGAATGGGGTTCATTCATTCACAATCACAGCACTGAAAAATAATAATTAATAAACTTAACTTCAAAAATATTTAAAAAACGAAAATTATTTTTAAAAAAAATTTTCTATATAAATAACTTAAATGAAATAATTAATAAACAACTTCAAAATATAGAAAAAAAACGCCTGTTACTTTTTGCCATAATTATCGTCTACAATCAACATGCGTTTTTTTAATATTTTTGAAGTTGTTTATTAATTTTTTTTTAAAAGTTATTATTTATATAGAAAATTTTTTCCAAAATAATTTTCGTTTTTTATTATTTTTTGAAGTTAAAGTTATTAATTATTATTTTTCAGTGTGGTGATTGAATAAAATTCAGATATAAATATTTTGTTTACAAAAATAATTAAAATAACACATTTACTTTTAAAAAATTGAAAGAAAATCTTGAGAATAAGATTATTTTTTTAAAAAATTTTACAATTCTAATTTTAAACTTCTTCAAACCAAATATATTTTTAACCGGCTAAAAAATAGCTAGACCAAGTGTTTTAGCCTAAAACTATCACTCAGGCTTTTCGGGGTCATTCTTAAAAAGATAGAGGCTCAGATTTGAAAGAATTTAATATAAATTAAAACGCCTCAATGTTAACGGATTTTCTTAGGCAAGCGCCTGAAGATTGAGCAGAGTTAGCTTGTATTTAGCCATTATCCAATTATAGCAATTATACAAACTTTGAAGTGTAATATGAAGATTTTATATATTCTGACTTCAGAATAGGCAGGACAAAAATACGCTTGTTTATACCACCCCCCCCCCTAAATAAAAAAGATCCAAAAGTATTCTAAATATCCCATTCAAGCTCAATCATGCCGAATTTCGGAACTAATGTTATCAAATGTACTTGTTAAGATATTTCTAAAATTAGGAAAAAAATCAATTGTTTAAAAAATAGCGATGAAATTAAACAAATCCGGCCAGAAAGTTCGTATCTAATTCTGAACTAGGATGGTATAGCCGGAAATAATCGCTCGGCTAACCAACTTAATCCCTAGGTGGTTTCAATTAAAATTTTTCTAACCCTAAGCTAAGTTGCCTGCAGCGCTTTATTATATAACCTCAGAAAATTTCATTGCATTCTACTGTTTCTATATTCTTGGTAAATATTTTTTATTTGAACTATTTGGAATAACATTATTCACCTGAACCCCGATTCTAAACCCCGGGTCTGTGATAGGGGGTCGTGCTAATAGCTGGTTTAGTCGATTTTTAGACCCAAACCCCGGATCAGGGTTATACACAACCAACCAATTAACAACACTATAGCACTACATAATAATAATGCTGGAAAATCTTATTATTTATATTTAAAATGAAAACTACCAAAAAAAATCATTTTAACAAAATGCGTTATTTTATACAGAAGCGCCATCTATTTATGAAATAAATATTCATTTATTGTTTTTAAATCGTAATAATTAAAAAACCCATGGCTGCCCCAATTTAAATTTTTCTTACATATAGATTATATAAATGAATAATAAAATACTAAATTCAAAGAAATTCGGAGCTTTCATGTTCAAAATTAATTAATAACTTAAATAAAAACAGCAAGATTATTATTTTTATATAAATCCTTAATATATAATAAAGGCTTTTAATAGAGTTACAAAATGCTTATAATTTTTATTTTTTTAACTAAGGTCATTTTTGGCACTTTTGACCATTGATATCGAAACTATTGTATTTGGAGGCTAAAATTTTGGATCCATGCTTTATAATGAGGTTCACTTCACTCAGTATGCAAAATTTTATCCAAATTAAAAAAGTTGGGCCAAAAAATTATCTATTTGGTATGGAATTATACATATGGTTTAATTTATTTTATTCGTATGAATGATCAATAATAATCCTACATGATATTTTTTAAATAATTTATGATCTAAAAGGTTCCAATCACGATGCCCGGCCTGTCAACGAAGGTTTGAGGTGGGGTAAAGAGGGCAGCCATGATATAAAAATATGACAGTTTATTTTATTGATTAATTTCCTTCTATTATCGATCAATAAAATATTTATGCAGATATTTTAAGTATTGTAGACCTGCAGGCGGCAAGCAGGAAGGATGGGGGATAGGCCAGTTACAAAATAAAACTATAAAAAGTAAAACAATAAATTTATAATAAAGCGTTGCCTTTTTGCCATTAATAAATTCTTAAAATAGTTGAATTATAAATATATATTTTTAATAATCCAATAAATAAGCAATTGACAATTTGTACATGCTCGGAATAAATTGTCCTATTAAGATTTTAAATTTGCCAAAAAAAATTGATAAATTCCTGACTGGTTTGGCCCATAAAAATATTTTCATAAGTTACCCAACCCGATAATATTTTTGTCTAGCCCGTTCGGGGCATGCAGACTTAGTAGTTTAATTCAAATATATATCATTAAATAAATTCAAAGATTTTACCTTTGAGTACCGATATCAGCTTATCTTTGTCCCTCAATGATTTTTGACCTTCAGATAAAAGCAGTTTAAAGTTTTCCGTTTCTTGCAATTTAGACTTAGCGGCTTTACATTCTTTTACTAATTCTTCTTTGGATGTAAAACTTTTGTGGCATAGAATCTGCGAATTGTTAAGCTTCCTGATACATTTTTCTAACCTAACTAAGGATTATATATATATATTTTGACATATATTTATTTAAAAATATATTGGTCTTCTCTAATTTGTAGATATAAAAATATTATATCTCTCAAAAATTTATAAAATTAATTTTACATTTCATTATCCTCGTTAAACATTGAGTAAATATGATAAACAATAGATGCGTGTCTTATATATTTTTTATTTTGCATTAAGGACCATATGTTGCGCATGCGCCATTATAAATATATGCGTCGTACGTTTTTCTGGAATTTGGAATCGGAATTTCTCATTTTTAAATTTTTTACGAGACAAAGCATATTTCAAATATGAAAAATATAATCAAAAATGTAGGCTGTGTAGAGTACTCAGACCCACCTTACGGTTTTCAGGCAATTTTTCCGTGAACCTTTAAACTACACTTAATTACATATATATTTTTTTATGAAATAAAATAAACAAAAGTTCTTGACAAAATTACCTGAAATTCATAATAGGGTAGGTAATATACACATGCTGGAATATATTTCCGGTAAAATGAATATTACTTATATTATTTTAGATTTAGAGATTCCGAATCTAACTAGATTTTTGATAAGTTGTCATAACTTAAGTCATAAAGACTATACTCAGGGTTGGGGAAATTTTCTAAATAATGTATTAGCTCATAATTTTTTATAAATTTTTCAAATAAAATATTATTTAAATTAACTAAATCTGTGAAATTGAATAATCCCCCCTTTATTTATTTATATAAATAGCACAAACATCTATTTGTTTGTTATTATTATTGTTTTTTCTCGATTATTCGCTGTGTATATTTTTCAATGGTGCGACCACCTCGACATGCTAGCCAACCTGGACACACAGCCGCCGGAGCCCCCGATATTCTAGGTCCGGCGTTGGACGAGCTTACGGCCAACAATTCTCTGGTGGCAACACCGTCCGACCCTGGTATGGCAGCGATGATGGCTGCCATGCAGGCAATTTCTGTTCAAATGGTTGCCCTATCGTCTAGAGTGGACAGAAGCAAACAACGTCGCCATTCACCTTCTGGGCACAGAAGCGCCACCTCAACCCCCATTCGGCGCGAGATCAGACCACTGACATCGCCGCCCCCAAGAGTACCTCCACCGCCATTAAACACCTAGGAGAAATATTCTAGGCTCAGAAAAGTTTGGGCCGGTCTCAATCAAGACTTGGCGGAGCCACGGTGCAAGGCCAAAGACAGGAACAGGCATGAAATCAAGAATCAGACCCGCGGTTGATTGAGGTCATGACCAAAAGGATCCGAGTACTCGCGCTCGCCATCCATTGGAATTGGTCAACGGCAAGGACAAATGATCTCTCATATCAGGAGAAATTCTTTTGCGGAGAAGAGCAAGGTCGTTCACGAAGGACGGTCCTTTCGCGATAGGGGTCACGGGGCCCCTTCCACCACATATCGCAGGAGGCCTGAAAATAAGGACCCGCCCTCCACCAGGGGTAAGAAGAGGAAATAGCGAGCCTGATCTTTCTTCACCTTCTTCCTTTCTGTCTTCTTCTTCCCCTTCCTGCCCCCTAATACGCAAAGTCCCTTTTTTGGGCCACCCAATACCCAACAGCCCTTTTTAGGGCTGCCACCACAAATATCTGCAGGAGATACTCGTCCGGGCCACTGTACACAGGCCCGAGGGGAGCCAGCGCAGTTCCCAGACTGGCTTAAAAGGGTTAACAAATACCTTAGGGAACTGAGGCATCAGCTGTGATCCCCTGATGATAATGATAACTAGGCAGATTCCGGTAGCGAGAATACCTATAGCAATAATAATCCTGCCCCGGATCTGCCCCCAGCCAGTTACAATGCGGACGTAGACTCGGACATGCCGTCTTTCATGTCCGAGGAATCCCGGATGCCACAAATACGTCGTGTTCGTCTGACAGCAACAGTAACAGCGATGCACTGATATCTATCGTCTCGGAGCTAGAGAACTCAATTTTCAGCAACGACGATAATTCTGGTATGCCCCAGGTGGGGTCCATTGCATTACCTAACTTACCCGCTTCGCAACTATATCCTGATCATATTTTCCCCTAGGAAAATACGGATATAGTCGAATGCCTTGGCCTTTATGGCTTCGGCATTCCTAAGGCTTTATTTCTCGAATCAAAAATATATACAGCGAATAATCGAGAGAAAACAATAATAATAACTAACAAATAGATGTATGTGCTATTTATATAAATAAATAAAGGGGATAATTCGTTCTTGAAGATTTGTTGTTATTGATTGGTGCTGTTGATTTTTGATTCGGGCCTTAAATTAGTAAGTCGGCTGACGTAATGCTAATCTCCCAGTTGTAAGTGGTTGTTGACGTGTTACTTGGGGGTATTGACAGTCCTGAAATTAGAGATGGTGTAGCGAGCCCAGTTGACCGATCGATGATTGTTTCTTGACCGAACAGGGACTCCGTCAATAGAGATCGTGCTAACGCAAATTTTAAAATAAGATTACAATTCTCCGCGTTAGCCCAAAACATTCAATGGGTCCCAACTAACGAGAACCCTGCGGACGAGCCATCGAGGATATGGATGGCCCAAAGGGAGCACTTGGAACTCTCTGAAGGCCCAATTCTGCAAGCGCCAGTCTTGCTGCAAGACCAGGAAGAATCCCTGTTCGGTCAAGTAACAATCATATCGATCGGTCAACTAGGTTCGGATACTACACCATCTCTAATTTCAGGACTGTTAATATCCCCAAGTAACACCTCAACAACCACTTACAACTGGGAGATTAGCATTACGTCAGCCGACTTACTAATTTATGGCCCGAATCATAAATCAACAGCAAGAATCAATAACAACAAATCTCCAAGAACGAATCATCCCCTTTATTTATTTATATAAATAGCACACATATATTTGTCTGTTATTATTATTGTTTTCTCTCGATTATTCGCTGTGTATATTTTTGATTCGAGAAATAAAGCCTTAGGAATGCCGAAGCCATAAAGGCCAAGGTATTCGACTATATCCGTACCACCGGAGCAGAGGTAAAATAGAATTATATTTTAAATAAAAATTATTTGACATAAATATATATCATTGAACTTTTTTTTAAATAATTTAACTACATCATTAGATGGATTATTAACATATATAAAATTTTAAAGCTAAAATAATCATTTTCCTCAAAATAAGAAAATGGAATATTTTCCTGCCCCATTATCTCATTTTTTTTAAGAGGGCTTCATCTAAAAGTTTATGTTGCAAATATATTTTTAACTACATAATACCCATTTTTAAAATAGAGGGGTAAGGATTTACTAAAAAGCCTCTCTGCTTCGGTGAAAATGAAATCGAAAACTACTCTAGTTTTATATCATTATAAAAAAAATTATATCTAAGATGTTAATTTTTTCGCTAACTCGGGACATAAATTTAATATTTAAATATATAAATTGTAAATTTACAAAATCAAAATATAATAAATAAAAAAACTATTTGTATTAGTGTAAAATCGTAATAAATACAAGTATTTGTAATTATTATTTTAAATACAAGTTTTCGCGTTACTGCCCAACCCTGACTATACTACAACTGCACCCATTTAAAAAAAATATATAAACCTAATATTTTTTGGTGAAATCAAAATGCAGCCTTATGCATCTGCTATAAATATGAAACTTCGTGTTAAATATGAATTCTTTTCAGCATATTTATTAATAAATTAAATATTAATATAACCCATGTCATTTCATTATAGCCTATAAAAGAGCTCTCGGGTGGGTGTGAGTGAGTTTTTTTAAATAAAATAATGGGCGGAGAAGGTAAAAATATTTTTTTAAATAATTGCCAGGATAAATATTATAGGGGCATAATTAATCTGGCTGACTTATATATTTTTTTTTAATTTCATACTTTTATGTCTAAACATATAAACCAAAATAAAGAACCATACTAAGGGAACAAATTACTTATAAGGCGGCCGGATGGATATAAAATTTTTAAACCAAAAGGTGAAATTAAATTGGTTACATAAGTATGATGATGGATGAGAAAGAAACTACGCGTCTAATATAAAATGCAAAATTGTTTGGGGTAATGCTTTCGTAATAACATAATAAATTCACTGTAATACCATCGTGGAAGTGGCGTAGCTATGGGTGTGGTTTAAGAGGTTGAATTTAGAGTAGTCAAAATTTGCGATTTTATGAAAAATTCAAAAAAATTATCACGATTTTTTGATTAAATACAGTTGGAAAAATATCATATATCTTTTACCTTAGTATAATATTACTTTCCAAGTAAAAAGCCAATGCTTCAGGAAACCTGGTCAGGAAATTGTTGAAGGATATATATTGACAAGTTATGAGCTAATTTGATACTTTGTCAAATAAAAAGCTGTCAAAAATTTGATATGTGCATTAGAGGTTTGCAATGTCTAGACCGTCAATATTTGAAAAAAATTTATCTGGTCGGGTCTGGCAAAAAAATTATTGGGCAGGATTATTGATGAATTCTGATATTAGATGAAATCCATAAAGTGTAATGTTCTTAATTAACCACTAGCCAATATTATAAATAGTTGTCTATTTTGGTAAACTACATATATTTTGGGTTAGGTCTTATATAAAAAACCGAGCTGGACTACCTTGGTAAAAAAAATTGGAAACGGGCCAGTCCGGGTACAAATTTGGCCGGGCCTAAAAATTTTGACATTTGTAGACCAATGTGCATATTGTTTTAAAAAATCTAACTAGTCGATATCGTGTGTGGGAAAGTAAATCATTCAATATTTTTCTAAAATGAATATTATTATGAATACCCTCAAGTAAAAGTGTTTAACCAAATTTAAAAATTTATTTTTTTGATTAATAAAATAATGGTGGATTTATTATTTTTAATTTTAGCTACTGTTATTTCCCAATTGGGTGTCCTGTTGCATTAGTCCAATTTAAAATGCTAAGGTAAAATTTGGTCATTCGTTAATACCCTTAATTTAAAATAATCTTTTAGTTTTGTGACATTTGTTTGGTATGCCCCAAAAATCAATCATTTTTAGAACTATCTTTCTTCCCTTTATTTATTCAAGGTTAGTTTTTAAATTATATAATGATAAATATATTTTAACCTTTTTTCTGAGAACAAATCAATTGTTTATAACAAAATATTACACAAATTAAATAAGAAATCTAATAATTTATTTGAAATATATTTAAATTAGTGTATATTTAATTATTATATGATCGTTTTTGTAACCCACCATCCTGAAAATCAACATTATTATTATACTTTCACTGACTAATTTCTTATCCTATATTCTAACCCCAAAATATATTTCAGATTTAACAAACAATGAGACCAACGTGGCAAGCAAAGTAACTTGGCTAATTTTATATCTTAACACTAATCTTCTATTTATCATGGTAAATTCCAAGCTACATCTGATCCGTTTAATAAAAATTTTTCAAATGAATTAATAAATAAAATTAAAAAATTGAATGATGGTGTAGGGCTGTGTGGATATTAAATATCCGATCGGATTGGCACTGATGTTTAGCATTTTCAAAAAATATCAGATGGGGCTGATATTTTAAAAAAACAGATCCGATATTTTTTATTGTTTTTATTTATTATTAATTTTTTTTATTTTATATTTCATAAATAATTTCATAATAATAAATTAAAAGGGACTAAAATACAATTTATATGTTGTAATGTTTAAAAAATTAAAAATTTTACACTAATTTTTATTATACTATCTGCTATACAAGAAAAGGATTTAAAATATCTAAGTCACATTCAGCTAGTGTTGTTAAACGGCTAGATTTCGCCATTTTTAAAAAACGCTTAAATGAAGATTTTGGCCAAAATTAAATTACTCAAGCTTATTGATTTTGCTTATAGATGGCAGAAAGGTTTAAACTTAGTAATAATATTTTGCTAAAATCTTCATTTAGCCCTTTTTAAAAATCGGCGGAATGGAGCTGTTTACCAAGTTTACCAACACTACATTTACCCCATAAACATTTCGAATATTTTAAATGAGATTATTAAATTTTGGAGAATAAAAAGCACTTAATCATTCGTGAAAATTGGTTGGTCTTTTTTAAAATAGAAAAAATTGATATTTTTATGATATTGATACAAAGATAGATGGTAAATAAAAATAATTATTGGATAGGTATCGGATCGATTTTTATAGCAATATCGGAAAATATAGAATCGGTGAAAATTTGTGAATCGGCACAGCCCTAAGTTAGCAGGACCATTTAATTCAGGATAGAATCTTAGCAATTAACAGCTTCAGTAGAGTATTTTATCATTTGAAATGTATTTCAAATTTAGGAATCGTTTAGGAAAACTAGTTTACTTTTAAACAATTAAATTCAAATGCCGATGACATTATTAATGCTTGTGATTAGTGATTTACATCGGGCCTAATTTTTCAAAACGGCCCAAAAAAATTTTTAAAAAAATTTGTCCTGCCCGATCTCGAACGAATTATTTTTTTATTTGTCCCAATAGCCCGATCCGAATTGAAAATAATTTGTCCTTCCGCCAGGGCCCGAATTTATTTATATATAGAAAATTTTAATTTTTTTTATTATAAAAATAATATTAGCGCCTTGTTTCTTGCAAAAATTTTAAAATACATTAATTTATTTGACAAATGTAATGATATCATATTTAAAAATTTAAGCCCGACTCGGCCCGAATTTTTAAAAGATATTAGGCCAGACCGAAATTGAGGCCCAGCACGGCCCGAATGCAGATCACTACTTTGCACTAAATTTATAACATAAAAATCAAAACGTTAAATTTAATATTAGTTCAGGTTCTATATTTTGAATATTAAAAAATTTCTCACTATATTGAGATTTTAATTAAAATATTAACAATTATTTTATATATTATATCAAAAATTGAAGCAATGAAAATCCAAATAAATCAATTAATTTTTTTTATCTGATAAATAATATTACTGGTGCAATTTAGTACTTTTCACACAAAAATTATTTAATTCTCGAATAATCTTCATCTCTGCCTTTCATTATATTAAGTATTTTAATCAAGAACGAGGGTCTGGGAATGAAGCCCCCGGACTTTCATAGTTGGATCCCGTAAAAGAAAAATTTCTAGCTATGCCATTGCTTCGCAGTATAAAATTGGAGGTAATATAGATGTAGAAATGACTTAATATGTACCCTTTAGAGTTTAAAGCGCATATTTTAAAATATTATTTATATTTTGTAACTTGATACTAAATTTAATCGTTGTAGACAAGTCCTATTCACCTCGTCGATTCTTTTCTCGATGGTTTCTAAAAGTTAATTTTTTTTAAATGCAAAAATATTGGGATTTAATTTTATATAATAATAAAGATAAACTACTATTAAAATCAATGATTGAATGTTTTAAATTTTCTTTAATTTTGAAGTCCTTAGCGGGTAGTATGCATTGAGGGTAAGATTCTGCTTTTGTTATGGGAAGATCTCTCAATTCCGAATTATTCAAGGTTTCATCATCCATCGCAAATATAAATGTCTGTTGGGATGGTAACTCCTTTACATCTTTTGTATAGTCGGGGGAAAGGTCATTTTCATATACTTGAAATGAGGCAATAGTTTATGTAAAAATTTATATAAGAAACCAATAAATGTTATAATATGAAATGGAAATAAAATACCTAATTTGACATAAATACAGATCAATTTTTTGAAAAATTGGGTGGCTTTCTTTTATAAAACTGCGCCTTAAATTAAAAAAAATTATGAACCCAGGGCAGGGCTATATATAAATATCTCTGTAGGTCCTAAAAATAAGTAAAATTTAGCCTATTTTGTAAAAACAAAATAATAAAAAATAACTCATTTTATTTGCTATTAAAGTAAATTATCAGTGAAGAATGTTAAATAATAAAAAAAATGGCGTATAAAAATTATTAAAAATAATTTTTTTGTATAAAATCATGTGTAAAATATATCACACACCAGAAACAATGGGTATATTGATAAAAGGAGCGTCGGACGAAGGCTAAAATAAATATAAAATATTAAAAATTTGGAATACTTTTAACAAAATTACCCTTTAAAAAATAACACAGTTAGCCCTAATTCGCGACGAAGAATGCAAATGCTGCATTTTTGTATTCTTCTAGTATACTTTGTCAAATTGGCGCTAACTGTGAATGAGCGGTTACTCGTTATTTAATTTTTTAAACTTAATAATATATTATTTGGTTTATAAAAAAATGTTACAGTAAACAAGGTGTTTAAAGATGTATTGCTTGAACTAGGACTAAATTTTGGCTTATCTTCGATCTCGGGGTTTAATTCATCTGATAGTGGCTATAATAAACATTTTTTAATACGTATAAATTATTTATTTAAAACATTATTGGATAAAAAAAAGCTTTGATAAAGTTGCCCATGAGTTGCATTACAAGTCAAAAAGGAGCAAAACCAACACAAATACTATTGTCTAACTTTTAGCAGTTTTTATACACGGTAGCCGTAAAGTATAGTAAACAAAAAAAGGAATGTATTTGAAGATACAATAATGAGACTCTAGAATTATCTAACTCCCTACAATTAATAAATAAATATTAAGCTTATGGAGTACCTTCTTTTTCATAAATAGATGATTACAAATTTTTTTTAAAAAACGCTATAGCTATAAGGGACCGGAATTTGTTTGATGATTCAATATTTAGATATTTTATTCCCATTATATTTTTTGTGGTTATCATCGGTTAAAGTTCTGGGGGGGAGGGGGGGGGGGGTTTAATTTTTGCAATTGTATTTTCTTTAAAAAAATGTCTGCGATAAGTTTGAGCCATATATTTTCAAACAAAAAGAAGAGCATATAAATAAAAAATAAGGTTCACCCAAAATTTGCATCTAAAAAGCAGGATTTATAAATCGTAACATTTTAAATCAAAAGCATATCATTTTTTAAATGTAGGCCATATTTTTGTTTATATATTAATTTTTATTTTTCGAATGAAAACATGTTTTGAATTTGATATGACAATCTGGATCAGTTTTAAACTCTCTTTAAATCGTTATGGATTTTTTTATTTTCGAATTGAAATCGATGTCCATGTTTAAAAAAGGTTCCTAATCAAAAAACAAATATCTCAACTATGGCAGGTTTGATGGCTCGTTTCTTTGGGCTTATTTTTAAAATTAATAGGGAGTCAGTTCTTAGTCATTTATCAAATCAAAAAATTAATGATAAAATATTGGCGTTTTTCCTTTGTAAATATTAAGGGAAAATTTTAAATTTCAGGTTTCAACTTCAAGAAAAGTTACTTTTTGAGTATAAAATAAATTACATTCTATCATGTAAATATTCTGTTAACAAATTTTTTTCCAAATTGCCTTATGCATAGTGCTTAAAAAAATCATGGCTTACTTCAATATTTAAAAATTAAAAACCAAACCAAGTAATCAACCACTTACAGTCTGCTCTGTATAATAATTTAAGGCTTACAAGGGAAATTTCGTGGGGTTCAACTAGCAAATGAATTTCTTTGGCTACGTCATCAAAATCGTGGGTAATATCATGGTGGTGGAAATCGCTTTTATTCTGAACTTCTTGGATTATTTCTTTATATTTAAGCTCCATTTGCTGTTTTTAGATGGTAAATTAAAATAATTTTTAAAAAAATTATGTTAAACTTGAAAATGATTCTGAATATTATTTAATTCTTCTTGCAGGTATAGCTTCGTCTCGTTCAAGTTTTCTAATTGTTTATTCAATTCAGCTAGAGATTTGTTGAGTTGATCATTTAAATAATCTTTCTCCGAAATTTGATTCTATTATATAATATTATATATATAAATATAACCAGTATACCTTTAAACAGTCAATATTGGCCTCCAAAATCGATTTTTCTTCATATATTTGACTCAATCTTGTCTATATATAAAAAAATTAGAATTAATTGCATATATTAAAATAGTTACCAGGTAAGAAACCATTCTAATAGCCATAGCCTATTCCGCTAAAACAAAGCAATAAAACTTAAAACTATAAACCAAGCATTTTTCTAAATAAGGCAATTCTCATATTTCGCAATAAAAAAAATCTTTATCAAATTATTAACCCTTTATTTTTATCAGATTTTTTTATAAAAGTAAAATATGTACCAAAGTCACGATCTTTTTTAAAATAAACTTATTGATTTAAAAACATCAAATTTTCTAAAGGTGAAAAAATATTAAAATTTTATATTAATACATTTTCACAGGGTTGTGCATTTGACCGGTCAAATACAATTCGGTCAATTGACCGATATTTGACCGGTCAAATATGGTCAAATTCAAATAAATGTTTTTTACACCAATATTAACTTTATTTTGCATTTATATAATATTATAATAAATCTATGTATAATAATAAATATCATAATATTTTTTAATTCATTCTATAGTCAATGTTTCACCCTCCGTGGCAGAGTCTTGTTCCGATTCATATTCAATATCATTATTTTCTTTAATATTTTTAATCAATCTTAAATTATGATACACTCTTACTAATTTTCCTACTGTAGAAGCCTTTAATCTATTTCTGTTTTTCGTGTGAATATTGCCCCAAACCGACCAATTTCTTTCAGAAGAAGAAGTCGAACTAGGAAATGTTAGTAAAATATTAGCGACTTCTCTTAATGGGCAAGGTGGGCAAAATGCATTCCACCAACTTGAGGCCGAAATTTGATTGTTTCTTATGGAAGTTACAACTTTCCACATATTATGGCTATTAAATATACCGCTTTTGCTTCTGAAATTTACTATATTACTCAAAATATTTTGATTATCACCACCTTGTAAAATACCCAATTCTTGTATTATATTACATGCTTCATCAAATTCAGTATTAGTAAGATGCTCCCCTTGATATTGGGGGTCCAATAAACAAGCAGCATTGTGAGCACATGTATTTAGATCAGTTTTTCTCTTTTCAAACATAACCTTAATTTTTTTTTCTTGAGATGGAGAAAATATAGAATCATGGCATGATTGTATTATGTGTTTTTCCAAATTAAGCATCTCGTTTTTTACTTGGGCCAAAGTACATTTATCCCTTTGCACTTTCAACAATGAGGTAGCTAAAGGTTGGAGTATAGCTAAAAATTTTAAATTTTTCGTCCAAAATTCTTCGTTTAATATATTATTAGTAATTTCTATGGGACAAATATCACAAACAGCTTCTTCAACAACTGATGCTTTTAGAGCTTTCTTGCATATTTGAATTTGCTCCATACATTTTATTGACGATGCCCATCTTGTTTGGCTAATTGTACTTAATGTAGATGGTATGCCATGAAGATTCTTATTACGGGAAAATACTGCAGCTGGTATGTGTTTATTCTTGAAAAATTTAACAATTTTTTTAATTATTAAAATATGGTCACTGAAGGCGTTCAATCGTTCAAAATCGTGAAAGAATAACTGCAATGTATGCGCTGCACAACCATAACATTGTATATGATTATAAATAGATTCAGATTTTAGAATTCTCCAGGCTGCTTTTATGTTAGCGGCATTATCAGTAACTAAAGAATATACTTTTACCGGATTCAATTCATGAATTACATTTTTAAATTCCTGGGCAATATAATCTGCCGTATGGCGATTTTCCTCAGTATTTAGAAATTTGTAGAACACTGGAACAGGCGTCATTACCATAAAATTAATAATACTCTCGTTTCTAATGTTGCTTCTGATACAATTGATAAGTAAGGAGCTTTATCTATTATATCTGCAACTCTCACCTCCATATCACCTGACGCTTTGTCTAGAAGATATCCAGCCAGCTGCCTTCTCCTGGGTAATGTGTAAATAGGACGTATTTTTTTTAAAAATTCTTGGATGTAGGGATTTTCAGTGATGTGGAAAGGTAAATTGCTCGCATATACAGCCTTTGCAAACAATTGATCCAGCTCATTTTTTTCTTTGGGATTAATTCTATCTATGAAACCGGTTATACAAGATTGAGATTTATATTTAATCGCCTTGCTTGTAGATTGATTAGAAATAATGGAATCAAATTCTCCTGAGTCACAAGACAAAATATTGTTCATTTGATAATCATTTTCACTAATTTCACCCAATTCTTCATTAGAGTTAGACTTAGAAGTATTACAAATTACATTTGTGATATTTTTTGTAGAGGTTGATATTTTGGAATTTGAATAAAATTTTTCCTTAATTATAACAGGGCACATAGTACAGCTGCTTAATAAATGTTTGACCATTCTATCAACGTGGGTGATATAGGACATCTTGCAAAACTTGCACACCGCTTTAACTGATTTACCATCGCGTACTTCTTGAAAATGTTTCCAAACATGATGCTTTGGTTTGACCATAATCCCTAATATATTAAAATTTAACAAAAACTGATTTTGATTATTGTAAAGTTAATCAATCTTAACTATTTTATAATTATCGACCAATTATTTCAATAATTTCTTAATATTATAAATATAATATAATATATATAACTTTTTACCAGAATTGAATAATATTCCGTAAATCTGACCAGAACAATTAAAATGAAAATTAATTTTAAAAACCAAATCTAGCAAGTGTAAGTAAAACAAATGAGAATTAATATAATTTATACTCGGCTAAATATTAAATAAAATTTAAATTTATTAAAAAATAAGAATGAAAAAATTATATTATGATTATAATAAATCGGGTATTTTTATTTTTAAGAAAAATGAATTGAAAAAAATAAAGAAGGCGAGAAACGGCAATGATTAGGCAAAAAAATAACTAAAAATATTACTATATTTAGAAAAATTACATATTTATATTTTAACAATAAAAAAATTCTTTTGTTTTTAACAATTCATGATACAAATAATTTTTTAAATAATTGTAACCTAATAAGATTGATAAACATGCTTTTAATGCATACTAGTTAATTATATCAAAATATTTATTCGCCATTAATATTTTAGAGTATTTGACCGTATTTGACCGGTCAAATACTCCTCCGGTCAATTGACCGACATGCCAACCCTGCATTTTCATACCTAATAAAAAATGTATAATCGAAATTTCATTATAAATTATTTTAAAAAATGAGAACTGCACAAGTCAATTTTTTAGACCTTTCTGGCCCAGAACTAATTTTTTATTTTCAGGCCTGTTTCATAATTTTGATCAATCTATGGCCTGGCATGGGTTATTAAATTTGGACATTTTATTTTTATAATAATTTTGTAAAAATGGTTTTAAATGGAAATTGAAAATATGAGAAGTAAATAATTGATATAATTTAAATTTATTTTAAAATATTCAAAGAGGCCAGCAGTTAAAAAAAGGTTTGTTAAGGTTCAATCCCGCTTTCATAAAATATTTAACCGCTGCTTTGTCAAATGATATATATAACCATATTTTTTTATAAGAATTATTATAATAATTAATTAGGAAATTTAAAACGGATTAAACTATTTTTAATCAAAATAAATTTTTCAAAATTATCAGCAAGAAGTTTTTTTCTGCGTGGTCTAGCAACGTCCAAATTATTTTGTATGAATTCGGAAAAGCCCCAGCTACATGATCAAAACAAATAGATATTTACTATTGATCCATTAGAAAATAAAAATATTAATAAGATAAATTATTAATAACAATTTGAAAAAATATTAATATACAATTTAGTATCAGGCAGTAGTTTTAGGAAAACGGTAGTCATGTCCTTGAAATGTCTTCCTAAAACCAAAAAAAAATCCATTTTAATAAGCAAATAGAATTATTTTATTTAATAAATGCCTATGGTAAATAAATATTAATACATCATTATTTATCATTAATATTTTGTCTTACGTTTCCTTTATATTTTTATAAATTTTAAGGAAACTGAAGAAACCAATATGTTGAAAATGAAATAACAATAAGAAAAAATGTTACCAATGTGTTACATTATAAAATTCATTTTAATATAAAAATAAGTGTCTTAAATATTGTGCAGCAACTTTTCAAAAAAATTTTCAACTATTAAGTAGCAAATATTTATGCTATTTTTACTACAACATAATTAGTTATAAATAAATTTAAGAAAAATATCGTTGCATGAAAATTTAACTGTCTCGATTAATCAAAAAGTTACTTTCATATTATTATACATAATTTAATTATCTGCAATCCGCATTATCCATATTTTAATGAGAACATGGTTAATAAAATGCAAATTTATAAGAATAATTTTGTTAAAGTATTTAATTCGACCTTTGATAAATTGGAGCTTTAATTTTTTTCATCTTATATATTTCATTGATTTTTATTATACATTTAATTATTAAGAATAAATATTTTACAAATGAAGTGAGTAAGTTAAATGATTCTAATGTTGTGGATGTGAATCCTATGACATCTGATAAATTTTTAGATTTTTCTGAAGATCTAAAAAATAGTTTAAATTTGATTCTAATTGAACTTAAAAATTTAAATATCCAGAAAATAAGTAATTCCAGTGGGAATGAAAAGTCAAATACTAGTGAAGTGCCTATTGTTGGTAAAAGTATTATGACGTCAAAAGATATAAGTGTTAGTTTAGATGCTTTTATGAGTGAAATTACAGAGAAAATTTCGGAAATTGTGATTAATAAACCTGTGAAGGTTGTAAAAGATCATGATGTTACTAACAATGTTAAAGGAAATGAAAATGAATGTGTAATTTTAAATGATATAAAAGAAATAAAAGAAAATTTGAAGAATATTTCTAAAGATATAGATACAATTAGAAATAAAAATCATAAATTTAGTGAAAATTGTGATATTTGTGGGCGGAGGGGTCATAGTGGGGAAAATTGTTTTTCACATGAGCTAAAAATCAATGAAGATGTGAATGTAAAAATAAATGATAAAAATGATATAATTTGTCATAGATGTGGTTTTACAGGT